CTAACAATGCAATCGATACCAGGAACAGTCACATAGGTCTTACTGAAGTCCTATATCCAAGATCTGTACTCTAAGTGAAACTTCCATCATCAAAATAGTCTGGCAAATTTCACAAGGCCACTTTTTCTAACGGCATGTATGTATATGAACACTGTAGCTTGATATTTATTTTTATTAGCAAGCACTATAAAGGATCAATGGGTCACCAGAGTTCTCAAAAGCTCATATCCTATGCCTAAATATATTTTTACAACATCTCTAAAGGCACTGCAGCCATGTCTTTAAGACACAAATTTTATACACAACATTCTAGATGGACCAATGCATTTTAATGCATTCCTACTGACTGCAATTTAATTATGTACACATAGACTAAGGATCCAGTCCTATAATACTGCCTACCCTAACTAGATCCAGTTATAAAAGCAAAATTGTTATAAAGCAGATAAACCTAAATTCTTACCATCATTGCTAACAAAATCTTCATGTAAAATAGGGAGATCAAGTCGAATTCGTTTTAAACAGGTCTGAAAATAAAGAGATATTTTTACATTTTTACCAATAATGTTAGATGGGGGAATGGTCATTTAGTCAACTTTTAGTTTCAAATGAGTTGTTCTTCAAATAACTACTATTAATTTTCCCTCTCTACCAAGACAGATTTCAAAATGAAGAGTCCAAACAGCACTTTAGCCTCAAGTAAGTCTATCCTTGTACCATTTAACATTGTGAATGATATTCATAATAATCTCAACACTTACCTGAACTTCCTTTTTATTTCCCAGGTATTCAATTCTGTCAATAAAATCCTCAAATTGTAGTTTAGGGAATAGCCTTGTGCCCAGTGCTCCATGTGTCTGATTAATGTCTTCAAGTCTTCAGCCTGGCACATAAAAATAAAAATGCTAAACAGAAGATTCATTCTCACAACTAACCCTGTCAGCAAGTTTTAGAATTGAAAAGCAATGCCAAAGTCACTGGTGTCATTTTATATTTATAAGGCTGAAAAACTTTCAGAAAGAAGTTTAATAAGAAAAATATTTATTAAAGTCTTAGAGGATTGCAGTCTAAAAGAGCACTAGATACAGATATTTAAAAATCAGAGGAAAAAGTCCCAGTATGAAAGCTTAGTAAAGTTAAAAGATAATGTGTGCCTTTTCAGAAATACAGTAAAACCCCAAAATAGGCCGCAATAAAATATGTCAAGATATCTTCTAGGAAAAACTGAACACTATGACAGGTCCCTAAATCTTGTACAGAGAAATAAGCATTGAGAATTCAGAACTTTAAGAATATATCAGAAACCCCAAGGGCAATGTACCAAAGACTAGCAAGAACAGTTTAAACATTCTCAAAACATAATACCTCTCTCTATTTGAAATTCCGATTAAGATTTTTTTTACATGAAAATGAACAAAGTTTAATAAACTTGAATAATGAATAAAAATGTTATAAATCCTGGTCTTACTGTAAAATATTTCATTCTTTATTTAACAGTGTCTTAAAATAGGAGAATGATTAAAACACAGTCTCTGGATCAGACTGCACAGATTCAAATCCCAATTCCACCGCTCAATAGCTATGTGACTTTGAACAAATCACTTTACCCTTCTGTGCCTATTTCTTTCTCTTTCTCGTCACCCAAACAAGTTTGCAATAATTTGTCTATTTCTTCCTGTATAAAATGAGAATATACATATCTCTATTGTAAGGATTAATAAAATTGCCTGACACAAAGTAAACACTCTAATGTTTGCTACTGTTGCTTTTTGTCCTTCTCTGGAAGCCACTGGTCAAGACAATCAACTCTATCAATGACTAAATATGTAATACTGAGAATACAATGTCTTATTTTACCCTTCTGATAATAAAAGTACAAGTTCTTTAAAAAATTCAATCACATACGATCATTTTCCAGTTGTTGGGAGTAGCCAGTCAACCATCTCAAGATGTCATGTTAGACCCAAGGGACACAAGATAAACTAAATATAGTAAGTGCCAAGTCATACATGGAGACAAAAGCTGTGAGGATTCAACACTGTGAGAAAATAGAATTTTCAAGGGGAAAGTACAGAAGACTAAAGTAAACACTCTCAGAACCCACCTTCACTCACTGGAAAAACACAAAATACATACATAAATTCACTTATTTTAATAAGTATTTATTATTCACAAAAATCAAAGCACCAATCCACCACTACTACTTGAAAGTTTCAACAAGGGCAATAAATTAACTGAGCTGAGTGTGATTTTTTAAATATCTTATGTTTATTTTTGTGGCAAAACAGAACACAGTTTATATTCTCTTGTGCCCACAGAAGCTGAGCAAATGTATAATTTTTCAGCCTCGCAGGTTTGAAATCTTGGATTATTTTTGACTCCTCCTTTCTCATCTTCCTATATCCAATCATTACAAGCTCCATCTGTTTATCTCTCTACTACTCCCCTAACAGGATTTTATCACTTCATCCCATTGGTAATACAAGAGCCTGAGTTGCTGTCTGCCTCCATTCTCTTCTCCCTTCTAAATTATCCTGCATACCACACCTAAATGGTACTGTCATATTAACATTATCCTAGCTGGGCTATGAAATGGAAAAGCTAGGGTCAGCCTTTAACTGTTGGCAAACTCTAAAACTTAGTTTCCTTGATTAGATAATGGGACTAACACCTATCCCACAGGTTGAAAACTAAAGAATATATATGAAACACTTTTATAAACTATGAAACTCTATAAAAATATATTATCTGCAAAAATTATCTACACTCCCATGATTCAAAGATAAGAGAATTTTTAAATGTGCATTTGTATAGTGAATATTTTCTTTCTTTTATTTTTTTTAAGAGATGGGGTCTTGCTTTGTTGCCAGGCTGGACTTGAATTTCTGTAGCTGGAACTACAGGTACATACCACCATGCCCAGCTAAATGACTTCATTTTTCAACAAACTTTACTGATGCCTATTATGAAGCAGGAACTGTACCATATCTTGGGGACACATAAGTGATCACTACAGGTAGAGTCCTTGCCATTATGAAGCTTAAAATCACTGTTTAAGGTAGACAAAGTAAACTTTACTCCTCTAAATTATAATGTGCAAACTGAGGCTTAGACGTGCAGATGTGATTTTCCTAAAATGCGATTTTCCTATGTGGCAAAAAATGACATAAGACATGCTTTCTTCTTTCTTTTTTTTTTTTTGAGACAGAGTCTCACTTTGTTGCCCTGGCTAGAGTGAGTGCTGTGGCGTCAGCCTGGCTCACAGCAACCTCAGACTTCTGGGCTCAAGCAATCCTACTGCCTCAGCCTCCCAAGTAGCTGGAACTACAGGCATGCGCCACCATGCCCGGCTAATTTTTTCTATATATTTTTAGCTGTCCAATTAATTTCTTTCTATTTTTGGTAGAGACGGGGTCTCCCTCTTGCTCAGGCCAGCCTCCGCCTCCCAGAGTGCTAGGATTACAGGCATGAGCCACCATGCCCGGCCAAGACATGCTTTCTAATTCTTCAAATAGTGCCCTTTCCACTACATCACAACTATTTGTCAAGAGATACAATGATGAGTGATAGTATCTGTAAAGCATTCTGAGAGTCCCAAGAATATAATGGGCCCACAGTTTTACTGCTATTTTAAAAAACAGAAGTCTAACCTCATGACCTTTACCTTTGAATTTTGCCTTATCAAACAAATTCCTTAAGGCTGGAAGCCCTCTCTCTGAAATTAATCTGTGAACAGAAATACGTTTTGAATTTCAAGTTTTCTACAGTCGAGTCCAAACCAAGACGAAGAAGAAAAAATGTTTTCTGCTGAATTAAAAAAAATGTTTTTAGAAACGTCAGATCTCCAAATCATCCCAACCAAAACCTGGTAACAGAAGAAAAACAATGGATGTAAATAGAAAGTACAAATGCAAAGGACATTGTAAATGTACCTCTGAGCATCCAGCTTGGGTATATTCCTTTTAACTGTTCTCTTTGGAGGTACAGGAACAGGTACTCCACTCCCTGACAATGATGAAACACATCAAGATTCAGTATTACTCTACTTAAAATAATTTAAGCCTTTTAAATAAAATGTATCATTTCTAAGCTGACAGAACTTAACATGGAACACTTTTTTAAACTCTCTATACAGACCTTCATCAGGTTCAGCTCCTTCACCATCTTGTCTCTTTGGAGAAGCTGGAGGTGGGAAAGGAGGAAAAGTTTCATCTTCTGTATGCTCATAATCTGGTAGGTCAATCATGCCATTCTCCTGTGGTTCTAGCATCTTTTCCTCCAAGGGGAAAAATGTAAAACGATTTTTATTCATCCAAATAGCCTTCCTATTTCACAGTCAAGTTTCACCTACAGCAAAATTCGTGTTTCAACTCGTTAAACCACATTTCAGCCAGGCGCAGTGGCTCACACCTGTAATCCTAGCACTGGATTGGTGCTGGGAGGCCGAGGCAGGAGGAATGCTTGAGCTCAGGAGTTCAAGACCAGCCTGAGCAAGAGCAAGACCCCGTATATCTACAAAAAACAGAAAATATCAGCCAGGTGTGGTGACACACATCTGTAGTCCCAGCTACTCAGGAGGCTGAGGCAGGAGGATCACTTGAGTTTGAGGTTGCTGTGAGCTAGGCTGACGCCATGGCACTCTAGCCCGGGTAACAGAGTAAGACTCTGTCTCAAAAAATAATAATAATTAAAACAAAAACAAAAAAACCCCTGCATTTCAAACTCACGAATCATGAAAAGTAGAGAAGATACTAATTATAAGAAAAAGGATCAGGCTAGAAATCAGAAGAACTGAATTCTAATGTAGACCCTACCACTAAGAAACTATGATTTTGGACAAATCATTTAACCTCAACTATTGAGCTCCCCCTACTAAAAGGATGAATTTGACTTTTCAGAGGGTTTCAAACTGTGATCCATAAGGGTATGAAATAGAGTATAGGTACCTTACCCCTACTTCAACTAGAGTAGCTTTTTAAAAAAAATCTGTTTACATATTGGTCTTCTGGGTAAGGTTTCCTTTGAATAATGGGAAATTATCCTCAGGTTGGTAACTCTAAAGAATGTTTTTCAGTACTATCTTACTTGACCTCTCAGTAACATCTAACACTTTGGTCAATTCTTTTTTCTGGAAAAATGTTTTCCTTTACTTCTAAAACACAGTACTCACCTGGCTTTCCTCCCTGTCTTGACACTCCTCCTGGATCTTCTTTGCAGATTCATCTTCTTCTAATCTGGCCATTAAGTATCTAAAATTCCATCCTAGGCTCTCTTCATTCACTTATGCACATGGCTTTAATAATCAGTTATTTATAAGTGACGGATTGATTTTTATCTCTACTCTAGTCCTTGACTGAGCTGGATCCCTACTTTCCTTTTTACACCTCTTAAATGCCTCAAAGGCATCTATAACTCATCATGTACAAAATTGAACTTTTCCCAATTCAGTGAATGACATTTATCCAGCTATGCAAGTTGTGCTGTCAACCATACGAAACCTGTAAGTCATATTTTTTTTTTTGAGACAGAGTCTCACTCTCTTGCCTGGGGCGAGTGCCATGGCGTCAGCCTAGCTCACAGCAACCTCAAACTCCTGGGCTCAAGCAATCCTACTGTCTCAGCCTCCCGAGTAGCTGGGACCGCCCACCTCGGCCTCCCAAAGTGCTAGGATTACAGGCGTGAGCCACCGCGCCCGGCCCTGTAAGTCATATTTGACATTTCCTTCCCTCCCCCCCACCGCCCACAGATCCTGTCCATTTTATTTCCTAAATATCCCTTCAATCTGTCCATTTCTATTTCCATAACCACTTCCCAACATTTCTTGCTTGGGTTACACCATTACTCCCAGCCACTCTTGCCTCCTTCAATCTAGTCTTCATACTACAACTAAAGTGAACTTTTGAAAATGTAAAGTTGATCGCATGACTCGGCTAAGTAGTTCAATGGCTTCTGATTGCTCTTAAGGTAAAAACTCCAAGGCCCTTTGCGACCTGGCCTCTTCCTACTTCTCCAGCATCACTCCACACCACTCTACTCTTTCTTCCTTTGAAAGAGCCGTATTTCTCAGGCCACTGTATCTCTGCAAATGCTATTTCCGGTCTTGAAAGCTCTTCCCTGACATCTAATTCTCAATTATCACCTCAGAAAAGTCTACTCTGATTTACCTAAATTAAATCCTCCTTTAATAAGCATTTATAGTGCCAAGTACAAGTTTCAGAGCACTTATCCAGTCTCAACAGGTTTTATGTGTGTGGTCAGTTTGTCTCCCATACTAGAGCGTGTAGCTCTACAAGGGCAAGGATCAGGTAGGTCTCTGTGCTCCACGGCTGTATCCTCCAGGCTGGTACACAGCAGGTGCTCATCATGGATTTGTTGAATGAGGGAATGCAATACAAGAATTCCAAAGCTTTCCCCACACTGGAGTTACATCATCAAAAATCTCTCCAATTCTACATTTTTATGGCCATAAATACATAAAAACAAAGCATCGACTCCTGATGACGACTCCACCGTATGTTTAAGTAACCAACAAGAAACGCAGATTTTTCAAATTTGGAAAGGCAATTAGAGGCCGCATAATCTACAGTATGATGGCCTCCTAGTGGGAAGAAGTGAGGTTCAGCCCTCTGAGGCCGACGGGCAGCTCCGAGTTTGACGACAGAGCACAAATTACGTCAAGCGTAGCAAGGACCTGGCCGAGCCCGGGGTGGGGCTTGTCGGCGAACCGGATTTTCTTAGCACTGGCGGTGAATGAGATGTTCCATACACTTCCTTCACTCCTGGACGATGGCCGCACAGCTGTCCCTTTGTAGACACTGATGACATCATCTTAACTTCCTCCTCCAGTCTTCAAACTCCCAGGGTGAAGGTAACAAATGTAATATCCAAACCACAGTCCGTTCCCAGACCCTTCCGTTTCCAACGTCCAGCCATTTCCACGTTGTCAAAACAGAAGCCCCTCGTGGCAAAGGAAGTTCACCCGGCTGGCCCGAAGTCCCCCTCGGGTGCCGCCCCCAGAAACCTCAAACCGCCCGTCCCTCTTCGCCAACCTCCTCATCCTCGCTCCCCTACTCTCTCTTCACCCTCACTCATTCACTCAATATTCACGGGACGCTTTCCACGTTGAAACACCACTGTCAGAAGCCGGGGAGGTAAAGCTAGAAACACGCTCCCTCGCGCGAGAAGGCTCGGTTTGGCAAGAGGCAGCCGCGGCACCAACACAAGAGGAAAACGTGCCGCCCCCACACGTCGAGGCGGGTCAGGCCTCCCCTCCTCCCCAGTCCCGCTCAGGCCCGTCCCGCTCAGCCCAGTCCTCCAGCCCCTCACCCCTTCCCTGCGACCCCTCGGCCTCCCAGTCTTCCGTGTCGCTACCTGGATCGCCTCTCCCCTCCCCAGCTTCACTCACCCGCCAGCCGCTCTCACCTCACACACGCCGCAGTCGCCCCCAAGCCCTGAGTGGCGTGCGAGCAAAGCGCGCTTCTCGCGAGACTCGGAAACTCCCGCCACGAGAAGAGCCACGGCGTTTGGCGCCAAATCGGCGTGCGGTGTGGGCGGTGCCTGCAGGACCCACCTCCCCTGGTCCCGCCCACCCACGCCCGTCCCAGCAGCAACCCAACGGTCCCTGTGCTTTCGCCCTCCTGAATCCCCGGAGGAATCAAGTCTCCTATTTGCATAAAGGTAGTTGTTTGTTACTTTTAGGCGTTTTCAACGTTGGAAATAGGTCTCGGTTTTTAGAAAACTGACTTGTGGATGGAGTAAAGAGGAAAGAGGCAAGCAACGGTGGATGAGAAGCTACCTCTTGAGAGTTAAAAGCAGAATGGTTTGAACGTGAGAGTTTTATGAATTGTTTTTCGAATAATGAGCTAAGAAAAGAGGTGGTAAAGAAATAGGATTAAGAATGTGAAGCCGGGCGCAGTGGCTCGCGCCTGTAATCCTAGCACTCTGGGAGGCCGAGGCGGGCGGATCGTTTGAGCTCAGGAGTTCGAAACCAGCCTGAGCAAGAGCGAGACCCCGTCTCTACTAAAATTAGAAAGAAATTAATTGGACAACTAAAAATATATAGAAAAAATTAGCCGGGCATGGTGGTGCATGCCTGTAGTCCCAGCTACTTGGGAGGCTGAGGCAGGAGGATCGCTTGAGCCCAGGAGTGTGAGGTTGCTGTGAGCTAGGCTGACGCCACGGCACTCACTCTAGCAGGGCGAACAGAGTGAGACTCTGTCTCAAAAAAAAAAAAAAATGTAGACGCCACCCCAGCTGGGGCGACAGAGTGAGACGCTATCTCTTTAAAAAATAAGTGTAGACACAAAAATATCAAGAATGTTTTTTCATTTCTCTTTAAAAAAATGAGTCCAAATATATTCGTATTTGTTTGCATTGACACACAAACTGGGGAAAAATATATATATAACTAAAACCTATGGAATGGGAGTGGCACGTGGAAGACACAGTGGGATGAGGATTTACCTATACTTTTTTGAACCAATAAATGTGTTAACTATTCAAAAAACTAAATTAAAAAGTGTTATTGAAGCAAATATAGCATCATTAAGATTTGACAAACCTAGAAGACAACTAGGGAGTGCTGGCCACATTATTCTACTTTTCTGTACCTTAAAATATTTTATTAGAATTTTAAGAGTGGATCAAAATTTCCATTATACATGTCTAAAGTTGTGTTTGCAAATGTGTCCCTGTGTCACATTTTCCTTTATGTTATGGTGTTCTTTCTGTACATGCAGTATAATATATATTATTATTAAACAATTAACAAAATTAACATTAATTTGAGAAATATGTCAGCTTCAATAGCCTGAATTGTTGAGGCAAGAGACATTCTTTTGTCTAATAAAGTAAATGTAAAACCACTCTGAGAAGTTAAAAAGTTATACACCCTCTCTATTCCCATCCCAGACCCCCAAAACAAACAGCAGACACTCTGAGGGTTTGCCTCTCAGTTCCATCATTTATTAATTGGTGACCTTTGGCTATGCTTCAGTTTCCTCATTAATAATAGTACCTACTTCATAAAGTTGTGAGGAGGTGCAAAGGATAGTACTTAATAAATTATTATAAATATAACAAATCAAGTAATTATTAAGGACTATCTTAATAAATAATGAGTAAATTATTACTAATAAATAATAGATAATAATGTTACTTACTATTATCCATATGATTTTTAGAATGTTTGACCCTTATAGAAAACGTGAAGATTTTAAGTGTTTGTGAAATACATTTTTCTTAGCAATTTCACCAGAGATATAAAAGATAGCTTTCCTATAGACCATGTAATTAAAATTCCTTTGAAACAGTTTAATGTTTTAAAAGGTGAATAGTTAAAAAAAAAAATAGTGAATAGTGTTAAACAAAAAAATAAAGACTATTAAAAGACCAAAAATTGAGTATAGAATGTCAAAGTTTTTCTGGCAAGCAGGAAACCCAATCCACCACAGATCTATTATAGATAGGTTCTCAGAGATTCGCTAGAAGAGAAATGGGTAAATCTTTCAAAACCAAAAGACTACGAACTGTCTCTATCCCACATTAAAAAACAAAGTCAACCAGGCACAGGGGCTCAGGCCTGTAATCCTAGCACTTTGAGAGGCCAAGACACAAGGATCACTTGAGGCCAGGAGTTTGAGACCAGCCTGGGCAACATAGCAAGACCCCATCTCTACAAAAAATAGAAAAATTAGCCAGGCATGGTGGTGCACGCCTGTAGTCCCAGCTCCTTGAGAGTCTAAGACAGGAGGATCGCTTGAGCCCAGGAGTTTGAGGTTGCCGTGAGCTAGGGCAATGCCACTGCACTCTAACCCAGGCAACAAAGTGAGACCCTGTCTCAAAAAAGAGAGAGAGAGAGAGAGAAAGAAAAGAAAGGACGGAGGGAAGGAAGGAAGGAAAGGAAGAAAAAAGGAAAGAAAGGAAAAAAAGGAAAATCTCTGAGTCTTGTAGATTGTGTGGTATTGTTTGGACTTACCACTTAGGTAAGTGCTGGGTGTGGGTGGCTGGCGATAACGGTCTGCTGTGTACTTGAGGACTCCATCTGAAGATGATGGCATCTACTTGCCCCTGCCTGGTACATGACATGCCCGAATCGGGATTATACCACCCAGTGAAGTCTGCAGCAGCATTAGCAATTAAGGTGGTCAAGCCAGGGTTTGTAAGTTAGGATCAGTTCAGCTGCAAATGACAGAAAAAACTTTTAAAAAAAGAAATGAACAAAAATAATAAACGAGATAGAAGTTTATTTTGTCTCTAATGTGCAAGAAGTGTGGAGGTTAGTAAATCCACAATTGATATGGTACTCCATGGCATCAAGAATCCAGTCTCCCATCTTCTTGCTTTGCCATGGAAGAACTCCATTCTCAACTTCATCTCACTGTCTAAGATTATTTCTAGAGCTCCACCTACATTCCAGTCTGAAGGAAGGAGGAAGGAGAGAAGGGCGTGGACACACATTATAAGAACATTTCCCAGAAGTTGCATACAACTCTGGCTCCCTCCCAGTATCCAGTGCTATGGTTTGGATATGGTTTTTTGTCCCCACCAAAACTTGTGTTGCAATTTGATCCCCAATGTGGCAGTGTTGGGAGATGGAGCCTAGTGGGAGGTGTTTGTGTCTTGGGGACAGAGATCCCTTATGAATGGTTTGGTGCCCTTCTGGCTCTCACAGGAATGCATTAGTTCCATTGTTAAAAAGAGTCAGGCTTTCTTGGTTCTGCTCTTTTGTGTCCTTTCTCACCATGTGATCTCTTTACACATGCTGGCTCCTCTTCCCCTGCCCACCGGGAGTTGAAGCAGTCTGAGGTCCTCACCAGATGCAGATGTCCAATCTTGAACTTTCCAGGCATCAGTATCTTGAGCTAAATAACCTCTTTTCTTTATAAATTACCCAGCCTCAGGTGTTCTGTTATAGCAACACAAAACAGACTAAAGTATCTAGAACGTAATCACATGGCCACACCTAACTGCAAAGGAGGCTAGGAAGGTAGTCTTTTAATCTTGGTGGCCATGTGCCCAGTAAAAATTCAGGGTTTCTATAACCGTGGGAGAAGGCGAGAAAAGATGTTGGGGGACAACTAGCAAATGGCCACAAATAACAAAATAGAAAAAGAAAATTAAACTAACATTAATTTTGCAAATTTTGGAGTGTTTCCAAAAATATAAAGACTGTGATAGCTGGTATTTTCACAATAACGCCCACAAGCAATTCTCAGCACAAGAAGACTATTTCATCACTGAAAACTGTTTTATACTGTTAAACAAAATTATAAGAGGCCATTGTTTTAGACTGAGCCCCCACACTAGGTCCCACAAGGCTAGACCAAACCAAAATGGGATCGCTCTGAACCTGTTCTGGTTCTGGGGGCTGCCTGATTTGCAAATTATTCTTTGCCCAGTTAAACTCTGTTCAATTTCATTTGTCTAAAGTTTTTCTTTTAACAGATAGCGTCAGAAGTGGGATCCGAAGTAGAGCTTCCAGTGACGCCCCAGGAGCGCTAGTGACCAAGTGAAGTTATTCTCCAGGCCCATGTGTTCACTGCACTCTTGCAGCTCCTGGGGCTTGTGGATAAGTTCTCCTTTGAATTCCAAAGGTCCATGGATTTGTGCTGTGAGCTATCTTAGTTTGTGCAAACTGTTGATTAAAACTGGGTTCAGAAATTGCGACAGAAACTAGACTGTGTCAAGGACAGGCTTCGATTCAATAATTAATTGGACAAGATCCAGCTAGAGGCCTCAGGTGTCTGACTGGGTCAGACAGAAATTGGCAGGAAAGGGCAATTACTGCAGGGGGTATGAACTCTGGCTTTCAGAAATTCGCAGAGATTTTTGTGTTCTGTCCCCTTGTTTATTTTCTTCTGTATTTAGGTAAGGGAAAAAAATCACTGACTAAGTTGTTCAAGGCGATCTCAGAGCCAAAGCCAAGATTCAATGTAAAAATGGGATCTTTAATTTCTGAAGAGCTGAGTACTCCACTTTCCATTCTAGCCATACCTACTTTAACATGTGTAGGCATACATGCACTTTGCTTTATTGCATTTTGCAAATATGGCATTTTTTTACAAATTGAAGGTTTGTGATAAGTCCACATTGAACAAGTCTGTCGGTGCCATTTTTCCAACAGCATATGCTCACTTTGTGTCTCTGTCACATTTTGGTAATTCCCACAATATTTCAAACTTTTTCATTATTATTATATCTGTTGTGATCTGCGATAAGTGATTTTTGATAATTGCTTTGGAGCACCACGAACTATGCTCATATATCGTGGCAAACTTAATAAATGTTATGTATGTTCTGACTGTTCCATCAGCCAGCTGTTCCCCCAATTCCTTCTCTCCCCTCAGGCTTCACTACACCCTGAGACACAACAATATCGCAACTAGGCCAATTAAGATCCCTTAAAGTCCTTTAAGTGTTGAAGTGAAAAGAAGAGTCACTTGTCTCTCACTTTAAATCA